AACTGGAGAATTTTATTCAATCAATTGCTTTGTATTGAAGTACTATATATTTTTAAGTTAAAGTGATTTGTGTGGAAAAATACAGACAGAATTACTTTTGAGACTTTTAAAAAATACTAGACTTCACAACTGCCTTCTGGAATTCCTTTGCATCCAGTCCTGCTTTGTAACAACTTCCCCGTTAAATATTTCAGCAGTTTAAGTAAAGACTGATAGGTTGCCTGTTGATGCTTTATTCAATGGTTTATAATACATATGTATAAGTACAATATTTATTGTAGAACATGGTGATACTGAGACTTTTTTGTGGAGGTGCTGTTTGTATGGAATTGACTGCATGTGAAAGAAGGTAGCTTTCCTGTCTTAGGCAGAGGAATGTAAAACTTGCCATTTCAGTTGCTTGTAATGTTGAGCCTCCCTTGAAAATGTTTCAAGGAGGCACAAAGGTATACTGAAGAAAGGTCATTATATCTTATCAGGGTGCTTTCAGCAAGGATTAGTTTGGGAATATGAACACATGACACAAAAAAATCTTTTGTCACATGGCAAGAAAAAGTTGTTATGGAAACTAGCTCCGCCTCCACCAGCCGATGATTGGGAACACAGTTCAGAAAACCTCTTGCTTTTTAATCTTCATATAGTGTAAACACAATTCACCTGAGTGCTGGTAATTTGAAGCCTTGCTTTATTTAAAGTGGAGAATTTAGTAACTACTTGGGAAATTGTTCGTATTTTATTTTCCCCCTTCTTAAAAATAACAGGACTTTGGTCACATAAATTGAACATTCATAGATTGAGCATAAACAACACTAAGTAAAATTTCAACTGGCTAAAATTCGAGGCTTTTCATCTACATACTATACAATCTCCCACTTTCCAATGAATAGTAAAAACATTTCTGTGAATAATAAAATAACAAAGGCAAAGACATGGTGGAATTCTGTTTCATTCCAACCAGCAGTTCAGGAATATACTTGTGAAATAGCCAGTGGCAAGTACAGATTTTTCTGGCAGCCACCTCCTTCGGGTTCACTTGTATTGTGGCATGTGAGAGATCCCTTCTTTTTCCTGATGTCTTCATGCCTTGCAGAAAAGACAGAAGTTGTAGAAATCATTTGTCTCCTGCTGAGTGGGACAGATGGACCTGTCCTTCTCCCAGGATTTCTGGAAATGTAAGAATTTAGTTCACAAAAGTCTTTGGAGAGACTTCTGCAAGAGCCGGATGTTTCAGGTCACTGGCATTAACAATAATTAGGGCTTCTGGTTCCAACAGAGCAGTATACTTATGAATGCACTTTCTTTAAAAAAATGAATTTTTGTTGGATGATTTTAAGGACTTAAATTCTATTGGCAGCTTCTCCTGCTCCCAGTAGCTTCTAAGGATGGAATTAGTATCAGAAGCAAATAGCAGCTCCTTCCTCCTTCAAACACTGTTACAGTCTTGCTTTAATTTCCAGTGGAGTCCATGACACTGAGAGACCTCTGCTTTATTTTTTATTTGAAAATAACTTAACCATCAGACTATAGACCTAGTTTGCACATAATGACAAGTTATAATTTTATTATTATTACTATTATAGAAACATAGAAATATAGAAAAAAAGTGATTCAGAAGGAGTCCCCTGTACCATCTAGTCTGACCCCTGGCTCCAGCTGGCTCTACTCATGTAATCTCCAGCATGTGGTTGTCCAATCTTTCCTTGAACACCCTCATTGATGGGGTTTTAACCAGCTCCCTTGGAAGCCCATTCCATATCCTAGGGGTCCTGACCATCAGGAAGTACTTCCTGAGATAACATTTATATCCTGCCATTTTTCCTTCAGGGAAACCAAGGTTACATAATGAATCATGATTTCTTGAATTATGCTGTTACAACTGAACCCAGAGCTATGGTAAATTGTGGGTTGTTAACCAGGAAAATCCCAGAAAAAAACATGTTTTTGAGTTGTGGAATGTTGTTTCTTTAAACCATGTGTTGTCATTACATGTGAACACAAATTTGTGGGTTGTTCATGGGTTACTGCAAGGTGAAAAAGGCAGTAGGTAAAAGCAGTTAAAAACAACTAATCAACTTTACAAGCCAATATTGCAGTGTTGCTAAAGCATTGGAATATAGGGAGAGTTAGTGAAGGAAGGAAGAAACCATCCAGGAACCGGGGTAAAAAAAATGATCTGTTTATTTTTGCCAGACAAACCCTGGGTAGGACAGTGCACTGTGGTTTAAATATAGTATGAATTAGTATTGTTTGTGAACCAAGCAGTTTGTGCTGGGTGTCTCTGGCACATTCATCTTCTGCCATGGCACTTAGGCCTCCTTGTCTGGCTATCATATTCCACCATATGCTGGTGGCCTATTTCTTCTCCTTCTGCATTTGAGCAACCAGAGTGTTATTTTCATTCTTATTCACTAGGGATAATTTAACCTGAACTGGGTTCATCACAGGTCCTGTCAGCTTTTCCCCAGGGCTCAGTTGAAAAGATGTGCTGCCACTTTGTACGTTTAGCTCCAGCAGTCTGAGTCCATACCAGTTCAAGTGGAGCCTGCCCCTCCTGTGCAGGTTCAGTATATCTTGAAATGTTTCCAGTGCCTTGCAAATCAGAACAAGTCCCCTCTCTGCGCAATTCTCTCATCCAGACGTTGAGACTCCTCAGCTGTCTATCTGCCCCTTTGAAGAAGGTATCATTTCAAAGAAAACCACCTGGATGGCCATGGATTCCCACCTTCTACCTAGCAACCTACAGGCTGCCAGGAGCTCCTGACTGCATTTCCCCATTTCATTGGTATCAGGTTTGGATATATTGCCAGTGTCTTCCCTGGCATTAATGGAACTTACCTTGTGTTTTCCTTCCTAGTCTCTATATGCTACAGACTTAGTCTCTTTTAATGTGCCAGATCCTCCCTACCTTTGACTGGCTTCTCTTAGAGTATATACCCATACAAGGTAGCTTACACAAACAACAACAATCTACAGCAACACAAAATGTAATATTATTAAAATACATTTAAAGTAATGTAACATACCAGCTAACACTGAAGTAATTACAGTAGACAAATATTTGTTGGGTGATTTTCCATAACATTATGCAAACACAGACTGGAAGCTATCGCATAATTCCCCAAAGGCATCCCAAATGTGATACTCAGCATAGTCGAATATTACATTTACAGTGTGAAAAGTAGTGCAATCATTTGGCCTTCTCCAGAAGTAACTAATATATTTTTCAGTGTTAGCAAATTTATGCCAATACAATAATTGCCAGAGGATATGTGAAAACTTTCAGTCACTTGCTTCGATCTAGCAAATGCAGTCTACCTCCAGGAACTGCATACAGAAATGTTTGCTCCCTCAGGTGGCAGTGGAAGCCATTTGTAAGACTGAGGACAGGAGCTGGGTCAGCAAGAAATGCTGCACCAACAGCTTCTGTCATTCAAATGACAGCTTTGATCCTTTACTCAAGCAGCTTCCATAATGATAAGGTCATTCTACCATGGGAGAGTAAATGTAGAACTGAAAAAAACCTGGATATTTGTAAGGCTCACCTTAAAAAGCAACTGCAACCAACCAGGCAGAGAATTAGCCAGTGAGTTCTTAACAGTTCATTTGTGCTAACAGTTCTGGGCAGCAAAAATGGGCTATTTCCATGGTAGGTAACAATTTCCTCGATGCACTGCAAGTTCTGTGTGGTTGCCTTCTCCCTATTCAAGTAATATAAGGAATAGCACTGAATGGTTAAGGAATTATAAGAGACAACTGACTCAGCCTAAAGTGAGTCTAAATACTGTAATGGGGAGGAATGAGGAGGAATGGGAGCGCATAAGCTCAAGGCTCTTCCCAAGATCACTCTGTGGCATGTAGGCAATGTTAAATCGTGGTGGGACATTACCTGCAAACTAGCCCAGTATGTTCTTCAGAGTGGCACAAGGAATAGTTACATTTTGAGGGAACACTTGTATTTAAGCTTCTGTCTGATGTTTAGCTTTTCGGAAGACTTTTATAATGCTGCTGTAAATAAAATGGCAAGCAAGAGCTACATCATTCTGTAGAAAAACAATACTGTCATGTCTTGTTATTTTGTTCGTCAGACAGATATTTAATGTTTTACATACATATGTGATCGGAGCATGTATTTTTCCAAGTAAGTTTGTATACAATTCTTCTATTTAAATATTCCATCCATTTTGCATACATTTCCATCATGTAAAATCTAAGTTGTTTTATTACTAATTTATTAAAATTATATTCATTTTGGAATGGGTTTGCTGACAATATATTAGGTTCATTATTTGTGTTCCTCTTTACTTATTTGTGCTACTGCTCAGGGTATGGGTAGTAAGTTTTCCTGGGTCTTCCTGCTGGCTTCTGTGTGGCCTCTCTCTCCCCACCCCCTGCAAAACATCATGGTTATTTTGTCTGGATATAACTGGGCTGTAGCTTATAATGGAAGAAAATGGTGGCCAACACAATATCCCCTCCCCTACCAGTATTTTCCATTGGCATTTGGAATTCTTCTGCTGAAATACGTGGGAACCATGCAGTGTCTATAGCATTTGCTAGAGTTACTTTCTGCTGCCATCACAGACTGGTAAACACCTATCCCATATGGAACAGTTGGGTTTCATTTGGTTGGGATGTCCATTTGTGCAAAATGCACGCATACTTCAAGATTCAACTTTTTTCAGTTGTTTACTGGATAGTAATTCAAATATGTTAATTTACATTCTGAATACAATTCAGATTGTGTTACATTGAAAAATCATCTTTCATCCACAAAAGTAATCTGAAACTCAATTTTTATTGTCAGTAAAAGCATGTGTATACATTTAAGACAAAAAGAAAAGTCAAGATTCTTCTTTGGTAAGAAGTTCATAGTCTCTTCAAGTTAGGGCTGTACAATGGTCTATAATGATGCAGTTATAAAGCCAATTAAAGACCTTCTAGCTTTTCAGACAAGAACCCATGATGAATTTGTTTTGAAAATCTTTTTTCTTCCACTTCAGGTTCTTTGGAGAGCTTGAAGCAAGGCATCAGAATAACATCTTCATAGATGACATCAGTGATATTGTCGAAAAGCATACAACATCAACCTTTGACCCTTATGTGAAATATTGCACAAATGAAGTCTACCAGCAGCGAACCCTTCAGAAACTATTGTAAGTAATGGAAACTGTTTATATTTTAACACTATTGGAATTATCAGCAACAGAAATCCTACTTACATAATTAATTAATGTTTGCTGATTAAAACCATGCTCAATTGAACCAAACTAACGGGTTCAATTAGTACATCTAGACTGGCCATACTAGATGCAGAGTGAGATCGTGAGTCTGCTCAAGTCATGCCTTCTGTTTCTTATTCATTTTATTCATTCAACTTTTTTTTTCTAATTTGCTCTCCAAATGGATCTCAGGGTGAGTTATAACACATAAATAAAACTAATTGTGTCAATTTAAATAAAATAAGTGATAACAAGCAATAGCCATTAAAAGAAAAAAGAGACTGATGAAGCTGCAAAATATCACCTGGTAAAGTGCTTTGGCAAGCACCAGACATCTAAGCCTGGTACTGAAATGATAATAATTTCAGTTCCAGATGTACTCTGTGTAGAAAAGCTGTGATGCCACCACAGAAAAAGTCCTCTCCTTTGTTGATACATAAAGCATGTCCCATAAGGAAGAGACCTGAAGAAGAGCTGTTGGATCATGCTTGAGAGAATAGTTACATATCATCCTGAGTTCTCCACAGCAAATCGCACCTGTGTATTTTAAGTTCACTGAGACATTGAACAAGGTTGTAGCTGGGCTGCTCCCTTGCCCAGTCCATTTTTACTGATATTTGCTGAATCTTCCCTTCCTAGCACTCTGTGAATATCAGAACTCTAATCTGCCCCTTAGTAGGTAACAGAGGATAGATTGATGAGCAGATCAATGGAAGAATGAGGCAGAACAATCCTATTTCATCTTAAGAAGATATGGTATGGACAAGTGTTAGTGGTGGGAGCAAAAAACCAGGAAGTCTTCCCTTACTGTAGTTTTAGTCTAATAGGAAATCATGATTAACAGCTTTACTACTGAGATAGTAAGTTAACTTAATGGAAGATTTTATGTACTCAGGTGAGTCATGGAGTACAAGCCAAAGTTGCTTTTGTATCTCAGCTTATTAAGCTATTCAAGTAAACACTTTGTGCTTTTGTGCATTTAAACTTTAAATTTAGAAGATATAGGCATGATTTCCAGGAAAGCACCTAACAAACAGAATATATTTCTGTCAAAAATGGGCCTATTTCTTAAAATTATTAATCATTATTAATTATTGCTAATATTAATTTAACTAATAATGAAAATATTAATGTTATTGCTTTTCTTAGAGCTACCAATCCAACCTTTAAGGAAGTACTATCACGAATTGAGTCTCAAGAAGAATGCAGGAACCTACCTATGATTTCTTTTCTCATCCTCCCAATGCAAAGAGTTACACGACTTCCACTGTTGATGGATGTAAGAAGAACATATATTTACCTCTTTGTCTCATATTTATATGAGAAGTTAAGTATATCAGGCTGGTTTAAAACATTATTCTTTGGTTTCTATCTCCATTTCAGCTCTGAAATAAATATCTCTTGTTGTTGTTGTTAGTCGCGAAGTCGTGTCTGACCCATCGTGACCCCATGGACAACATTCCTCCAGGCCTTCCTGTCCTCCACCATCCCCCGGAGTCCACTTAAGCTCACACCAACTGCTTCAGTGACTCCATCTAGCCACCTCATTCTCTACTGTCCCCTTCTTCTTTTGCCATCTGTTGTTCCCAGCATTAGGCTCTTCTCCAGGGAGTCCTTCCTTCTCATTAGGTGGCCAAAGTATTTGAGTTTCATCTTCAGGATCTGGCCTTCTAAAGAGCAGTCAGGGTTGATCTCCTCTAGGACTGACAGGTTTGATCACCTTGCGGTCCAAGGGACTCACAGGAGTCTCCTCCAGCAATAAATATCTCTGCAACTGTACTAATGGCATTTGGGTACCTGTGTACATCTCACTGAGCATGATAAATTGGAAATGTCTACATTGTTGTATCCCAGCCACCCCCAATTTATCTGGAAGGCTCCAGGTTGTATCCTATGCCTGCTTACTCAGGCTTGTTGTCAGAGGGCTTCAGACAAAAGGAGGGTGTGAGAGAAAGTGAAAAAACTGGCTTGCCTGTGGGAGAGAACTGGAGGTGGCAGAGACAGCAAAGCAAGCGAGTCCCAGTGAGGGGATTGGCAGGAAGAGAGGAAAGGTGTGGCCCCACCCACAGCTGGGACCCTGGAGGGAATGTGTTTCTGACCAGGAAAAGGATTCCTCATTTCTGCTTTAAATTGTTAGAGAGGGTTCATACAGTCATAATTGCTGCTTCTGCTTACCAATTAATAAAAGAATATTAATATAAATTATTTAAGAAAGTAACAGATTAAGGAGCAACAAGGCAACACCTACACCAAGAAAAGTCTGAATAGGTCACCGCCACCCGGTGAGTTTTCTGGGAGCGGGACCTGAATCTTCTGCCACCATCGCTTTGAACAGTGAGCTATACTAGCTCTGTTACTCATTAAAGTCTTTTCATTGTAATTAATTTTGATCATGTCTTTGGGCCAGAAATTCAGGAATAATGATTCCCTTTATTACATTCAGACTGTAAAAACAACATATTACCATGGAACAGTTTTATAGTGTTTTGGCTTCTCTTACAAAAACAACATACTATGCTCCCCTCGTCATTATGAACATATCAGTGCAGGATGTTTCCTTTGGTGCTGCTTTGTTATTCTAAGTCTACAAAATGTTGATTTAATGATCAGACTTCTTTTATTTTTATGGTGCTCCTCAAATAGAGAAATTTTGGATTGCATCTTCTGCTCACTATAAATATGCAAGAAACTCTTGCACCTGATGAAATCTTTAGATTATGGCGCTTGCTAGTACTGAACCTGGGCAGGATGGAGTCTGGCATTGAAATAGGAAGCAGGAAAGGAGGAGAAAGTTTCCAATTATATTGTTCCATTACTGTAAATGACACTGTAGCAGCACCTTGATTCCAAACTGTGTGCAAAATCCAATTAAAATCCAGTTTTTCTTCATCTGCACCAAAATGATTTGCTAAGTTGTGTTGCTCTCAGCAATGCAATATACCATGGACCTACATGGGCTTTACAACAGAAAGGATGTTAAGGAGTGATCGTGTCAAGCACCTGGGTCATTTGTGCATTCTACAGCTCAGCTAAGGTTTCAGCAGGCATACCAGCCATAGCAATCAGAAAACTCCCAGAGCAACCATCTGGATCCATTAGCTTTCAGGGGCAGACCATCTTAATACCCTGGCACTTGTAGAGGGGAAAAGCTGCCTTTCATCTAAATCTCAGCAGGTGGTGATCTGATGGGATCATACAAATGGGTCAAGTCAAACACACAGCACCATTCTCATATATGGCCAAAAAGGCCAAATCTAGAGTATGTCTCACTACATATGTCATGCTGATGACCCGGGACAGTCCCATGGGTGCCTTTCTGATAGAAAGAGTAGCATCCTTCAGCACACTCCCTCTGATTATCTGGGAGTTCCTATCATGTAAGAAAGTTGCAGTTTCATGATGTATTTCTAATTTGCAATATTAAATGCTACATTTATGCTCCATCTAGTCAATAAGCCAGTAAATTCTCTAAACATATCTAACAGGATGGCTCTTTGTTTCAGACTATTTGCCAGAAAACACCTAAAGATTCACCAAAATATGAAGTTTGCAAACGAGCTTTAAAAGAAGTAAGCAAGGTATGTTTCAGTGGCTCTGTTTAGAATGAGATTGGCTGCCACCCTATCATGCACACTTACTTGAAATTAAGACTTCTTAACTCATGTATATTTCCACCAAAATTGCATGTGGTGATTGTTTTCCAATTTTTTTCTTATTATTTATGCACAGCAGAAAACGGGGAACAACAGGCTCTTCATGCCAATAGCTATTTCCTAGATTTACTTGGAGTTAGACTGGTGCCATCACTATTGTTGAAATGTGAAATGGCCTGAGCCTCTGGACTATCCTTAGCCTGGCAATTGAGCCTCATGCATGACTCAGGATAAAGTGAGGTCTGGGGAAGAAAGGATACTCAAGGCCCTGGGCATATCCTCCAGAAATTGTTTTGTTATAACTTGAAATTTCAGGAAATATATTTGGACAAAGGCAGGATTGTATATAGGAAACCACAGCTAATGATGAAAGGTTTAGAATTGGTTGGTGCTGCTTAATTTCTTCATTGTTGTGTTATTCTTTGTTCTATTTTTAATCTCTTTGTTCTTATGTTAAGTTTTAACTATGGTTAAACTATGGTTCTGTCTCTAATCTGGATGCTATTGTTAGCTACTTAGAGTGCCTTTTTTGGCAGAAATGTAGGATATAAATACATACATCCTACTTATTTTATATTGTAATTTGTTTTATATTTTTAATGTATTATATTTTAATGTTTTGTGAGCCACCCTGAGGCTTCGGCGAATGGGGCGGCATAGAAATTTTCTAAATAAATAAATACATAAATACATAAATTATGAATTATTATTATTCCTATCAAAGTAAATAGGGTGCAGTACTATACATGTCTGGACAGAAAAAGTCCTACAGCTCCCAGCATTTTATCCAGTTGGGCCATTCTGGGAATTGTAGAACATTTCTTCTGCCTAGGTGCACACATACGCTTCCAACCTTAGCTTCTCAAATGTACATCTTTGTTGCTGTTCTTCAACAATAGACATTAGCTGCTTGATTTTCTGGTCAAGAACTTCCAAAGTTGGTTCAACTCAGTATAATCAAATACATAATCTAATGTATTGTTCATGATTGCAATTTTAAATATTTTGACATTTTGCAGCCTGGATTTGATTTCCTAGATAGGTGAAGCTGGCAAGATATTCCATAGAATTACTTCTTTGACCCTAAAGCCTGCAGGCTATCTGAAATCAGTCAACCAACACACTCCTGAATAATTATCAAATAATTATTATAGAATCATCTACAACTTGCTTAAAAATGAATTCTGGATCTGAACATTCCAGTGTAACTAAATTTGGTGGCAGAAAGTATTAATATCTGTGAAGTCCCCAACATTGATCCACATCATAATCTCATTCAGGAAAAACACAAATTAGTATTAATATCCATCATCTGGGAGTTAGTCAATTTAAATGCTGCCATAAACCTGGTACTAATCTTTTCCATATGTTTTGAAGAGGCCCTAAAATCATGCAGTATTAGCTTGGAAGTAGTATTTAGGATTAACTGTCCTTTATCTGCAGTGTTAACATTTTCCTGCAATGCTTTAATGATAGGCTATATGTAGGAGTCCACAAATTTGGGGTAGGCTTACTGAGCCAACTAAACCTTGCATTTTGCATGACTCGGGAAGTAAAATCCATTTTAGTGCTCACATCTGCACTGGTTTTGCCAAAGACAGGAACAGCACCTTCCTGATACAGCCGTGTTGGGGGGGAAAAAATTGGGGAAGGAAGGCAGCACCTCCTTTTCTTCCCTGAATTCTCCTTCAAGGGAAAGACGCCAGGTTGCACTTCACATGAAGTACCAGCTATCAGGCTGATGATGAAATTTTTGTACTGTACAATCAATTACTGAGAAGGAAGGAAGAAGTGACTTCTCTCCCCTTTCCTTCCTGCAAAGGCCGAGCATGTGGGACAGAAGCCACCCCTTCCTTTCTACCTCCCTAAGTCCTACTAGAGGAAGGGGACTGTGATTTCTCTTCTGTAATATGATCATTGCTAGAAGTGCAGAAGTGCTCCCAAAATAGCTGAGAGGTACTTAGGAAAGGTTAGCTATGTTGGCTCCGTATAGGAACTTTAAAAATACCAAATTCTGTGGATATCTGTTGCTGTATTAGGGTTTGCAGTGTAATTAATGGATTGGGAAAAGGAGAGAATTACCAGAAAAAGATGGGTGAAAAATCCCCTTATCCCACTCCTCTTTAATCCAGACCATCTGGCTTGGGATGTAGTGGTGGTTCTGCAATTTTATCTCCCAACCTGGCAACCTCAGAATTACAGTGCCTGAATGTTCAGAGTTGAGTGTCCCATATTGAATGGGTTAATGATCGGCTGATCCTTAAAGGTGAAAATACTTGAGACAGGCATTTCATGTAGCCTGACATATTCTATCTGTTCTTACAGTAATGCAACTATTGCCTTTTCTTCCTTTTTGCGGTTGTCATTAATTCTCCAGTCCATCTCCTCATTTATCCAGCTATCAATTTCTATTTTATATATGCAGATTTAACTTCTCTCTTTTATGCATGGTTAACTTTATGGCTGAGTCCTCCCCCATTAATTTGTGAGTTGGGCAGTAGGGAGAATAGATGGGACCTTTGGCATTGCTCTCTCTCTAAATTATCTTACTTCCATTGCAAATCAAAAACAAACTGAACCATCTTTAATAGCTAGGAAGAAGTGGCTATCAGTAAGTTTGATCGACTTGCCTAATGCCAAAGGCAGCAGCAGCAATCTCTTGCTCAGAAGTTAAATTGACCACCCCAACTGTGCTGGGTTCCCCAGAAGGCCGTGCCACTTTGCTCACAACTGCAGATTGTTTTGCTAACAGTGTGTTTCTTGGTTTGTCAGGCTTTTTTCCCATTGAACTGCCTCTTCTAAGGCTTAGTTGCTGGCAATACGAACTTTAAGCTAATTTGCTGTTATTTATGTGATATGTTACAATATTTAGTCCTGCCCCTTTTGCCTCTGGCTCTGTCCATCCCTAGAATATGCCCCCCAAGGGCTTTTCCAAAATTAAAGGTGTCCTCTGGCTGGAAAAGTTTCTGTACTTCAGGTATTTCTGATCTCCCTCTTATTCATATATGGACAATATTCTCTTTCTCTCTCTCTCTCTCTCCTCGCCCCCCCCCCCCCCCCCAGAAATAGTGAGAGTTACAAAGGAAAAAAAACCTGAATCTGTTAATTCAGACTTGGTTGTTGAGGGACCAGCTTTGCATGCTGATGTTGCAATTCCACATTATGCAGTCAGTATTGTCAGCCTCCTCTGGGAATCTGCATCATATTTAGACTGAAAAGGGAAGAACAAATGACATTTTCCCTGACAAGGACTGCTTTACCCTTGGTGTGGCTGTCACTAAATTATCCCTGATAAGCGTGGACTTTCATCTTTGGCTCATAAAACTGCTTCTAATGGCTTGCTAACAGTTTGTCAAATAGTTCTCAGGAAAAAGATACCCCTAGGGCATTTTAAAAATACTTTATCTTCATCTTTTCCAAATTACTCTTTACTTGCACTGAATTCATTTCTGCTGAAGGAAGAAAATAGCTTAATATGCCTTGTGCACATAAAATTGCTAGAAATAGAAATTGCTAGCATAACTACATACTATTTCAGTAACTCCAGGTGAGTTTTGTCTTCTTTCAGAAAGTTGGCAGGAAAGATATGCTTATCTTTATTTCATCCCAGGAAGTTATACAAATAACTTGCTTTCTATCTCTCTTTTGACCAAAGTTAGCAATGGTGACAGGGTTCATAATCAGTGTCTTAGTGATGCTTCTTATTGAACTTTTGTACTACATGGCATATTTAAGAAACAAGCAGAACCAAAAGTCTACTATTCTGGAATTTATTCTTTGCATATAACAAATAAAAGGTTAAAAACTTTGTCAGGCTGCCCCTTTTATATTCTGTTTTGTTGTCACTGGAAAATGTTAATAACGATGCTGAAATGCTGTGTAAGGTAAACAGAGGCTGAAAGAGATGGGGGGCATCCAGCTGCCTTAACTCTGTAAGAAGAACCACAAACTTTAATATGGCTAACCACCTGTATTTCAGGTAGAGGTCTGGAACCATATTCAGTCAATGGGCCAGATTGAACCTCGGACTCTTGCATGTGCCAGATGATATCTGTCCCCTGATTTCGTTGGTCTCCAATTAATCACTACTTCCTTTACGTTACCTTTATGGGGAAATATTATTTCCAAACATCGTATTTTGAATACACCCCCACCTCCCAGTGTATCTGTGTCTTTAACAAAAAGAATTTATACTGTGAAAGGGGTTTCATCGTTAAAGGTGGTGTAAATATTTTAAATAAATAAAAAAGTTATTTGTAAAATAAAAGTTGATTTCTCATTGTTTCTCATTGGCATGGAAGTCTGAAAAAATACCACACTGAAAAGAGAGATTTAAAAATTGCAAAGCCAAATATAAATATATCAGATGAATACAATGTATTTTTCACAGTTGGTTCGTCTCTGTAACGAAGGTGCTCGAAAAATGGAAAGGACAGAAATGATGTACACTATCAACTCCCAGCTGGAATTCAAAATCAAGGTGAGATATTTTCCATAATATATTTATTGTGCACACATTAAGCTTGCCTTCATATTTATGGTGAGTTGTCAGAAAGATAAATCTAGTTTATTACCTAAAGAATTGGAAGGGGAAGTTAGCTCATGTTCTAAGAAATGACAAGCAAATGCATGTCTTTAAAGCAGATTTGATCCTTGAAGCATACAGAACAGTTGACATAGCTGCTTATGGGACTCTCATCATTTAAACCGAACCAGAAAAGCATGGTTTTAACAAAGTTCAATTGGCATACATTACCTAGCCATATACGCCAAATAAATACATAATATGCTTCCTTTTCAGCTTGGTTGGATGCTCAAGTTCTGGAAATGGATTCAGTTGTACTTAGGGATTGGATTCTGTCCTGGCCATTCATTAAGGTTGTGGTTATGCCCTGCCAAGTCATCTCTAACTTATGGCAACCCTCTGAATGAAAGCCCTCAAAAATGTCCCATCCATGACTGCCCCCTGCTCACCTCTTATAAACTCAAGTCAGTGGCTTCATTTATGGAATCCACCCACCAGGGAAACAGATGTCCCTGCTCACTAGCATCCCTCTGTCCACTTAAATCATTTCCAGAAGGTTGGGAAATTTTCAAGAGCAACTTTAAGGTGTAAGGAAGAGGAGAGGATGTTGTAGAAGTTCACTTGTCCAATGTTAGAGTCAACTGCCTGTATTTATCTCTTCAATTTTTGCTTTTCCAGCATTTGCCATATTCCTTACTCTTTAAAAAAAAGTTTAAGATGGTATCCTTTGCCCCTTCGCATTTCCCATAGTACAGACCCAGACCTGAGTTTCTGCAGTTAAAATTAAGCATTCTTTGAATTACATTCCTTTAAATGTTGTGCTTTGTCAATCCATCCAAATCTAGACCTAATTTTCATTATTATCAGTTGGCATGGACACTGTGGCTATGAAGCTACCACTGGCAGTAGAGCTTGAAATGGGGCATGGCAAGGGCCATTTTGGATCTGCTGGATCTAAAGCCCCCCATTTCCACTTCCCGTTGTAGTTAGACACATTTTTTTTCCCTCTGTGAAGCTCCTGTGAAACTGGGAAACAGTGACCACAATCAGATGCTTTAATAATGTGGCATCATCGTGAAGCAGAGTGAGGGCAATGCTTTCCATCTCTATTCTGGAGCTTTGTGAGTTAAAAAAAGGCAAAGTGTCAGCCAACAGCTGAAGATTTAGGATTTCAAAGTGGTGAGGAAAGGGAATTAGTGACAAATGTGCCCTGTATCTCTGTAGCTCCCATATTCAAAGTCATAAGAAGAACTTTCAGTTTAGCACCATAAAATGCAGTGGTTTCATTAAGGAACATTAAAAGGCATATTAAAAAGAGAAATGATGATATCATGAAGTAGGCTATATTTAAAAGCGTTCAGTTCCCAGCTATCTGTCAGTGGAACCTATCTGGCATATCTCCTTCATGAGAAAATTGGAAAAGAATGTAGCCTTTTGCAGATACTCTGCACATACCGTGGATAGTGAAAATCTTGTAAAGAGAAATTGACGTGTAGCTGCCTGAGGTACCCCCTGATGACACCTGCCTGTATACTTTCCAGAATGAAGGGAATGTTTGCCATATTTTAAACACAGTTGACATCGAATGTGTAATAGTGAATCACAGTTGATACATACCATGTTTAAAAACCCCACCTCTTAACTATGGTGTAGGCATTTAAAAGTAAGGTTTAATCATGGCTAAGTAAACTTTGGTTCAGACACAAGGGAACCTATAGGTCATGCTATGGAAACAAGCCATTGTGATCCTTGGGTTCTCATGGGATCTTTGCTTCCTTTCTTTTGCACAGCAGAGCCTGAGAACAAACAGTTTTGCCTTCATTTTAAAACTAACTACAATTCCCTGTGATAATTGAACCCAAGGGGTTGCATTTCCACTGTGTGGCATTTAAATGATCATAAATGAGAACAATCTAGGATCAAAGCATACTTTCAGATCTTTGCTTGTTTTCAAACCATCATTTAAATCAAGAAGCCAAATGGCCCAATGCTCCCCCCGCCCCAATGCTGATCCTGCTTTTGATATCATGGTTTCCTCTAACTATAATTTTCCTCTGATGTTGAAATCCAACAAACCCTTGTTAACCTACATAGCATGATTTTAAACCCTGATTTAAAATAGTCCCATAATAGGACCTGAGGGCCACCAATTTGGATATCTTTAAAAGGAGAGTGAACATAATCTATCAGTGACATCTAATTCTGATGTCTTTATGCTTCCTTGTGTACCAGAAGCCGTATCCCTGTGTGCACCAGCTTCTAGGGACCTTGAACAGGGCAGTTAAATTCATGACATGCTTGTGAGCTTCCTGTAGGCACTTTAGGAACAAAATACTGGACTGGATGAATCTGGGTCTAATCCAGCATGGCTCTTCTTATCTTATTCATCATTTGAAGCCAACCATAGTTGATGTTAATGTTGCTGCAGACAGAATACTGCACCACATCTGATTCCAAAAGGAGAAGGGAGCTGGGAATGGAGTGCAAGAGAGAAAGAGAAAGCAAGGGAGACATTTCTGGTGTGTTCTGACTTTCCTAACTGTTATTAACCAGTCAGAACCATTAATATCTGAGGTGGGTACATGCACAATATGGATAGATATGTCAAGAAGCCAGGCTTAAGCCAGACTATCATGCTTTTGTGGACAAAATTTAAAAAGTGTTTGCAGACATATAGCATGTCCACCTACATTTTCCACTCTTTCCCTGTTATTCCTTTCACAGTTAAACCTGAACTTTCCTCTGGCCATTACAGTAATAATACACCTTTGTCTTGTATCTGTCTTTTGTTCTGTAATGTCTCATTTTACATATTACCAGGAAATTTGATTTTACCTTTGAGCTGAAGTAAAATGGATAGTGGGTAACACTTTCCAAATGAATAGTGAAAATTATAAGTATTCTTGGCTCAATTTTCAGCTTATTTTATCAAGGGAGAGTTTCTCTTGGAAGGTTATGACAGGAGAGATTTTATAAAGTAAAAATTAAATGCTAAAGATTAGGGTCTTTGGAATCACCATTTGAGCCTGAAATCAAAAACATACATAGTTCATATGAAAAAAAAAACTTGGAGGCATATGCTAATCATGGACAAACGAAAACTCAAATGAAAACGTATGTGATCAGGTTTTTACAATTAATTTTTAATTTATTTTTGCAATTGGTACCCTTCCACAAAGCACCACAGATCCCTCGAAGCTGGTTGGCATTATGATGCTATGTTTCATTCATATAAACCAGACCGTGCAATTTATAGATTACTTGATCTATTTACAGACTTTTAGAAGCTGAAGTAGCAAATGGTTTCAGGAATCCTTAAAGAGCATTTATTCTCTCCTTTTATATTTGGAACCATAGAATTGGAGGGATACAAGAGTTTATTATTAACTTTCCTGTGTCGCTCCAGAAAGTTCCTATAGAAACTTCTGGAAGGTTAAATTGTAGTTTTCTTACTTTGTAGCCATTCCCATTGGTTTCTTCTTCTCGCTGGCTAGTGAAAAGGGGTGAACTGACAACATATGTGGAAGACACTGGGCTTTTCTCTAAAAGGACCTCTAAGCAACAAGTGTACCTCTTCCTCTTTAATGATGTTCTCATTATCACAAAAAGGAAAAGGTAAGAGCTGTAATGAACACATTGTCACTTGCACTGAAGGGTTACCATGGACCAGACTTCCCCAACATGCACTGCACTGCTTCAGATGTGTTAGACTACCATTGTAGAAAGCCAAAGTTAGGGACTCCAGAAATCCAGGTACTAGTCCCCATTCAGCCGTGGAGCTCCCTGGGTAAATCTATTCACTATCTCTCAGCCTAACCACTTCAGGGGTTATTGTTCTGTTTATAAAATGGAGAGGAGGGTTTTGTAAGCTGCCTGAGTTTCCTTGCAGGAAAAAGGTGGCCCATAAATATAGTAAATAAATATATAAACAAATAAAATTGCCCTTGCTGCCTGACAATGTTGGGGTTGTACTCCAACACATCTGGAGAGTGTTGGGTTGGGTAATGCTTTAACAGATAAATACCTGTATTCTCTCATTTTGTAGTTATTTATTTAGGACATATTTGAATGGGGCATTGTTGTGGGATGGGAGGGAGGGCTGAATGCATATGTTATTCTAGGAAGACATGGGACTCATGTCAGTAATTTGGAGAATGGAACAGTGGTGGGACATGGCAAATTTGGCAGTGGCTTCCTTTGGTCTTCCCAGTTTATTGCTGAAGGGCCACTGAGGCCTTCAATGGTTTTATCATTGCCATACATGAAACAGAAATGTCTTGGAATTGTCTTATTTAAACTTCTTCATTTCATTTATTACTTTATTTATTTGCAGTCCATCACAGCCTGTTTAGCAGCCTTAATTCTTTGTCTGTTTCATGAAGTACCTTCTACCAGCTTTACCTCTATATAGACAGGATTAACTGGTTTGGGTATTCTATTTGCCCATGCCTTTTACATTAAGGAGCTGCAATAATAGATGGTGTGCCCTTGGAACTGCAAAGAATCTGCTCCTTGTGCAAAGCGTAGCAGCCAGTGGGACCAGACAATTGGCACATTTAACATCAATTCTGCCTCACCCACATTGGCTGCCTGTAAACTTCCAAGCTCAATTTAAGGTTCTGGTTAAGTTTCAGTCCCAGTCTGTGTAAGGTCTTATAGGTTAATAGACTGGGACTGAAATGCCTAATAAAATGCCTCTCCAGACCTGAGTCTACCTGGACACTGCAATGGATATCTGAGGCCTTCCTCTGACTGGCACCTTAACCCTATCCCTGGCACTGAGCACGGTCTGGGGGTCTTCTCAGTGATTATTCCTCCCCTCTCCCATTATAGAAAGATCTTCCTAGCAAGATCTTCCTGACACCAGCTCTCATCTTTACAGCACCAGGTTAAGGCTGTCCTCCCCTCCCCAAAGGCATTGAATGGTATTGAATAGCATGATGGGGCATTTATGTCAGCTGCTTTTTAAACAGGTCTAGTTTGTATTGAAATTATTTTAACTGTTACATTGTTTTTAAATTCTGTATACTGGGAAAAATGTGGAAATCTATTGAATTTGTGGTCTATGCTTTTGTGTATTGTTGTGAACTGCCCAGAGAACTTTAGTTATTGAGTAATATAGAAATGAAATAAATACTGGCTCTCAACTTGGCTGCTTGGCTTGTCATGCTATTTTAATATGATCACACTAGAATTATCACTAAGATGCCTTTGTACTAATTGGCATCACTGATCCATGCAACCGATCCCATACTGCCTCCATTTGGCATTTGTCTCAGAGGCCTCCGATAGTTACTTTTCAGTTCTGCTGGAGAACTTTGTGCTGCAGAGATACTGGGAAGCTGAATTTGGACCCTTATGGATGGGAGACATCTGCTCTACAATATACCTCTTTCCTCTAATGAGCTCAAGTTAATTAGACATTACTAAGGATTTACTATATTTTTAAAACAGGGTTGGTTTAGAGTGTTTCTAGAAAATACATTCTGCTATCCCATTTCAAACTATACAAACTTGGGAGCCTTCCTGCTTTCTTGAAAAACACTGTTTAATTAGGCCAAAAATTTACCTGGTCATACAAATATGAACTTGGACATCAGTGTTCAGTGATTCTGTATACAATAAATCCAGAGAAAGATTGCTAGTGCATGCCAAAACTGTCTTGTAGATAAACTCAGATTTTTGCATTGGTTTAATGCAGAATTTACTTTTAAAGAAAGCATTTTAAATACTTTACATGCAACTTTACAAGAATTACATGCAACTCTTATATTGAGCAAGCAAGCTGAAAGGCATCTGAGTACTGAGATTTAAGTGAGGTTTAGTTATAAAAGCTGTAAGAAGAGCTGCTGTAATACAGTAAATCTCCTAGCATTAAACATACTCTGATGGATCTTAGGCTTTAGTTGAGCTCTTCTCAAACTGTGGGTTGTGACCTTCAGGTGGGTCTTGATCTGATTATGGGTTGGTCACCCAAGGAGGAGCTCCTCTCTGCTGCCCCTGGACTGGCAGCGTAACATTACGGCTGCATGGCCCATTGAGAACACATCCTTTTCTCCTTCTATGCCACACTTAATGTATGTTTAGATCAATCATAGCAAGAAAAATTAAATGTCAGCTTATTCAGCAGCAAGATATTCCTGTGTCTTCTGTTGTGGAGGGGGCAAATAGTGCTTGAAAGTAGGACCTCAAAGATTGAGCTGGTTTATAGGTGGGTCCTGTGAATTGTTTGAAGAGCTCTACTTCAGTATTTTGATCATCCACAGTGCTTTTGTCATCCTGTCTTATTTGAAGTTAATGGGGATTTTAATGTGCCTCAGAGGTTATCTATCTGAAGGTTCAGCTAAGAATAGACTACAGATTCAGGGCAACAGCCAGTGCTTTCTGAGTGCCAGTGAGACCAACTATTAGCAGAGCAGGAAGACAGCAGTTGCTGAAGCCAACCGTTGGAAACCCACCTTTCCAGAATAGGCAGGCCAATGGAGCTTGCTGAAGGAGCGTGCTACACGGCCTGATTTCATTCTGGAAATAAGCACAAACGGCTCATTTCTCATTAATTAAATGAGAAATGCTAGCTTCCTGTTGCAGCAGTACTGGATAGTGCCCTCTGGTAATTAAAGAACAGAGCAATCTGTTAACTTTCCAAAATCCATGTTGATTCTTTTTCAGCTGGGCTTGTCCCTTTTTATGCTTACTGATTCTGCTTTTAATAATAATCAATTGGCTTTCAACCAACTTACCCAGAACAGACGTTAAGCATGTAATTTCCTGGATCCCTCCTGGATCCATTTTTAAAAATTGGTGTTACATTGGCTGTTCTCCCATACTCCAGTGTAGTACAGAGACTGATCCTAGGGACATATTAAATATTTTGGTTAAAAGGTCAGCAGTTTCATATTTGAGTTCTTTAGGAATTCTAGTGAGGATACCATCTGGGTCTGGTTATTTATGAACTTTCAGTTTGTCAATAAGGTTGAGAATTTCATGTTTTGTCACTACTCTCAGCCTCAGTTCCTCAGATTCCCTTCCTGAATACATTAATTCAGACATTGGTATCTGTCCTGTATCTTCTGTTGTCAAGATAGATGAAAAGAAAGATAAAAAATACATTGCATTTCTCTGCAATCTCTTTATCTTCCTTTAGTGCTACTGTAATTCTGTTATCATCCAATGGACCAGCTACCTCTCTAGCTGGTTTCTTTCTTCTGATTCATTTAGAGAATTCTTTATCCTTGACCTTGATGTTGTTACTGACATGTTCCACAACGTGTTTTTGAGGAGCTCTTTTGTTTCAGGCAGTCAGGATGGGTCTGTAAGCATCCTCAAGAGGCAGACTTGATCTTTTGGGGAAGTGCAGTCCATTCAAGGACAGACTAAATATGACGTTTTGTCTGCATTGAGCTTCAGTATAGTGGCCCACATCCAGTCCATTGCAATAACCAGGGGCCAGATTAAGCACTTTCAGTTCCTTGCATAGAGCTGTGCTTCAGCAATGCTGATGGTTCTGCAGACTAAATCAATGAATAACCTTACCTACTGGTTTTGTGTAGTTCTTAAAGAGCATGAGAGGCAAGATGGGACCAAAGCATAAGCAGTTAAGCCTATAGATCTTAGCACTTTAAAAAAAAAAAAACATATCTGCCCTGGCAGTGGGAGATCAGCCTGAGACTTCAAAGATCAGGAGGAATCTCCTGTTTAGATTGACCATGAGATCTCTCAGTTTGAGCATTCCCCTCTCCCTACATGGAGGAGATGGAAAGAGCAGCAAGTGAATCAGTATATTCATGCATGCCTGAGCCCTCCTCACCTCTCCGTAAGGAGAATGCCAGAGGGAGCAGAGAACATCCCTCACTAAGCCTCTGAGGACATTTTTAATTTCATAAATTCAGGATGGTTTTGGCTTGTGGTAAAGAGGAATGGATCTAACTCATGTGCTTGGATTGAGAGGAGCCTTGCACAAGTGCAGCCCCACTTAATTCTTCTCCATTCCATATTTCCTGGGGATGCAGGAGACTTCAGTGTGTTGTGGGGAGCCAGAAAAGTCCTGACTTGCTTATGGGTATGTGTTCACTGTCCTGTGGATCCAAACTTTAGAGTGATTCCATACTTTTAGAGACCAGTGAGAATCACTTGCAATGAGTTCTTTGCCTGAGGTGAATAGCAGTTGGTCCATGTCATAAAATTGAGCAGCAGCATCTCTCAGCCATCACAGTAATCTTTATCTGCTCCTGCAAGCATGATGCTGCTTGTAGGTTTTGGCTGCAGCTCTGGAGCACTGAATTCCAATTAGGAAACAGTGCCAGGGATTGATTTTGACAAACTTCCCTTGCCTTTAAGCAACAGGAGAAACAATTGCAATACTGGATTGATTGATTGATTGATTGATATTGATTTGAATTCTGTCCCTCTTTTCTGCCAAAGAATCAATCTAAAATAGACTGAAAAAAATAATAAAAGGCATTAAAATACAATACAAACATAATTGCAGAATAAATTGCAGCACCCAACCCACAGACTAGCTTACAAGCCCAAAGGCATTGAATAGTGCAGTCTTTGCCTGGCCCAGAAATAAGATGCTGTGAAGCTAATGCACCCGCTTTTCATTTCCTCGCAGG